TTTTTTTTTGAGGATAAGTATTTTCAGAATGCTGAATGCACAGCTGGATTACTGTAGTGAAATACTGAAGGTGGTGAATGATATGCAAACGCACAACCTTGTAAGTTTTTTATTTTTTTTGCTTTTTTAAGATTCTCTTCTTCTTCGTCCTGAACAAGTTTGATCCTCCGGATGGACAAAATGATCTTGAATTCGATTTGTTTTGATGATGAACTGGTACTGGTGTATGACAAAAAGTCAGAATTGCCCCTAGTTAGTCGTCAAGCAATACTCGAAAGAGGAAGCCATCGACAAAGTTCCTTTGGCAGTGGATGATTACTGTTTGAAATATGCAGCCAGTACAGAAGCTACTGCTAGATGTACATGCTTCTCATGGAGCATAAAGTGTGGAGTAGATTTTTACTTTGACTATAGAAGTTACTTAACCCACACGTATGCTTTCGTTATGCACTTGATGCGCAGTTTTTGTGTGGATATTTTCGGAATTCCACGATTAAAGCGACTTACTTTAGTGAATTTTTCCTTTAGCTTGCCTAATTTTTGATAAAATATGCTACAGCACTGTTTATTTGTAATAAACTGTGCACTAAATCAAAGCCCTCTTCGCACTGTCTTTTGATGCGAGGAAGGGAAATTCCGGAAATAGGCCGAGTGGTAGTAAATGCCAACAGCAACCACACAGTGGTAAATCTGTTGGTGTTCATTATGGATAAAATATGCTAAAACACTATTTATTTGTAATTAGCTGTGTACTGAATCAAAATCTTCACCATACTCGCTTTCCGTGGAAGATAGAGGAACTCCAGAAATAGGCCGAGTGGCAGTAAATGCCAACAGCAACCACACGGTGGTAAATCTGTCGATGGCTCCCTCTTTCGATGATTGCTTACAAGTAAGCAAGCTGATAGCGAGTTTAACTGTCTGGCATTGTGACACTATTCAGTTTTCCATTGAAGCGGATGAACGAATCGTTGAAGAATTTTTTTTTTTTCGTTTAGGATATGTTGAAAAAAAATGAGATTTTTTTTAGAACGCTCGATTGGAATGGATGATTATTTGGCTGATAATGGTGGAAGTAGTTTTCGCTGCAGTTGAACATTTTGGCTTAAGTTTTGGTTCCCCGCGTAAAGTGTGCATTGATAATTGTGATGAAATTGCAAAAGAAATTAGTGAAAATATGCGAAAAAGTTGATGATATGATATGTGATATGATACTTGTACGGCATTGTTTTGCAGTTTTCAAGTTTGCAAAAAATCCTCCCTAAAACCTGGCCTCGAGAACTGATGTTAATGATTTTACTGATGTACACCCCTATATAGGATACAGCTTCGTTAGGGCTTTTTGGTCCTTAGCTACGCACATTTAATTATTGACAATCGCTTTTTTGGTACATATTTGCCAAATTTTTGAAGACCGTCCGAGTAATCGTTTATTTTTTCGCTGCCACCGCATATTGATGTAGGAGCCTGTAGGTTTGTTATCAAGACGAACAGAATTCTTCGTCTAACGATCTTTATTATCTAGCAGTTATTTTGCATGTCTTTTTTATCTAACGGAGATTTGAAATGCTTCTTTGGTCACAAAAGGACACTCAGGCGTTATATTTTACGTTCATCCCTCTATTTTCGAGAAATGACCACGTTTCACATCCGTACGTCAACCCTCAAGTTTAATTAGAATGGTCTTTTCGTTCTAAATTTTGGGGACATTGGTGATAATGTGATATTTTATATCGATCGGCGAGTTTTTGTCGTGCGATTTTTGGCAGGATATTACTGCTGACGTTTCTTGCCTAAGGTAAATGTGACTATCAACTTCTTTCAAGTTAGTCTTGTTTATCCGCATTATCATCACTTTGTATTTTCATTCATTTTCGATGCGCTGATTTTCAAGTTCGCTTCGCACATTAAGCTTTTGTAGCATCCCATTTATCACGCTCGTGGTGTTGGCATTGAGAACTATGTCCTGGGCGAGGCCTAAGTGATTTTCAGCTACTAGCCACTGATGTCCAGGCCACCTTTCCAATCCAACATGCGAAATAACATTTCGAGACAGGCCGTGATAAGTTTAGACGATAAAAGGTTCCTTTGCCGAACGCTTCTCTCGATTAATATATTTACGGAATAAGCTGCAAAAAAAATGTTATTTTTTGTTATTACTGTTGTTACGGATTTTTTATTGTTTTGTCAATTACGTTGTGAATTACTTCCGTGCCGATTTTAGATTTTCAATTTTGCGTACATAAAAAATTTGCTTTCGAAATTCAATTTCAATATTTTTGCCGAAGAATTCAGTTGGCTTGTTATCCTTTTTTTTATGCGTTTTTTGCAGCTATGCAATGCAAAAAAGCATATTGACGGGGGGTTGCCTGTGTGTCCATGTGTCTGTGCGCCCTGTGTATCTGTGTGTGCGGCTGTCACGCACTTTCATCTCAAGACCTACAAAAGTTGCAGGGCTGAAATTTCGGAAACTTAATCTACATGCACGTGCCGGCCTCAATCCCCAAAATGGGCGCCATCACCCGCGCACGGGCCCGCCAAAGTTTTTTTGTGGTAAGTTCATAATTCGAGGATCTGGCAAGCTAGAACTCTGAATGTTAAGGGGGATGTTCCCCGTCCAAGTAAGTGTTAATGCACTGAAATCCATCCCCCAAGTAGGCGTGGTACCCACGTACGGGCCTGCCAAAATTTTTTTGGGGTAAGTTCATAACTCGGGGATCTGAGAAGCTAGAACGCTGAAATCTTAGGGAATGTTCCCTGCCCAGGTGGGTACTAACGAGTTCAAACCCTGCTCGCGGGTAAGCGTGGTACCTACGTACGGGCCCGTGAAGGTTTCTTCCGGGTAAGTTGCTAACTAGAGAACGTGAAAAGCTAGAAGACTGGAACTTTGAGTGGATGTTTCTTGACAGTTTTGGCGGCCAGTCTGAAATTTTTTTAGCTAGAAGCTTCTGCCAGAAAAACCAGTGCCGTTTGCGACAAAAGTCTGCGGGGAGCTATGCAAAAAACGCATCTTCGCACGGGCAACCCGTGCGTTGGCCAATTATCATTTTTGGAACAGCAATACTGCGCGGTAAATTAATGTACATGAGAATCGGACGTGTTCAGCGTTTACGCAATTCCCATGCAAAATGATGTCTTACAACGTGTTCTTAAGACGTAATGTACTAAATGTACTATTGTAATGTAGTGCTGTCCAGATGTACACTGACAAAATGTGTGTTCCTCAAGATGTGCCCCTCAAGCACGCACAAAACGCATAAAAAGCGTACACGTC